TGCTAGAGAGGTTGCGGCAACTCCTCTCCCCTCTCCCCCCCTCCCCCCCGGATACTTGTGTGAGTGGCTTCAGCACACGACCGGGAAGGGAAGACGGAGAATGAACGATAAGAGAGCGATCGAGGGGATGGAGAGGGAAGAGAGAAGTAATGAAGTGAAGATTAAGTTGAGAGCGAGGGAATAGGAGGACGAGGGAAAAGGAGAACGAAGGAGGGAGGAAGAGTTTTGTATGAGTAAGTGGGTGAATAAGTGAATGAATGAAAGGGTGAGTAAGGTTGAGTGAGTGAGAGTGAGGAGGAGAGGGAAAGGAGAAATGAAGAGGCACAGGAATAAAAGAAAGGAAAAGTGTATGAAGAACCGACGATAGACGTCAGGAATTGAGAAAAATGAAATGTCGAAAGATATACGATTTTTTTTTATGTTGAAGTCGTCGTGATTATACCTAAGCTCTTTTTTTTTAAGAACATTTTTAAAAAAGGACAATAACTTCAACGATGACTGATAACAGATGAAGATGTAGTTAATCAGCTGATGATTATCGTCATTTTCAATTAGAATTAAGAAGAAAAAGAAAAAAACATAATAATCGCAACAACAATATATCAAGTGGAGATTTTCAGTCACAAACATATTTAAATGAAGAACGAGGGAAGAGAGAGAGAGAAAAAGGGAAGAAAAGATTCCGAGAGCGCCAAACGTGTCAGAGGGACAAACGGCTCCAGGAAAATGCAGATTCAAACGAAAAGGAAGTCAATCATGAGGAAGGATAGGAGGGAGGGAGGGAGGAGGGAGGGGGAATTAGAGGGGGAGGGAAGGGGGGAGGGAGGGAGGGAGGGGGAGGGAGGGAAGGAGGGAGGGAGGGAGGGAGGGAGGAGGGAGAGGGAGGGAGAATTAGAGGGGGAGGGAAGGAGGGAGGAGGGAGGGGGAAGGAGGGAGGGAAGGAGGGAGGGATAATTAGAGGGCGAGGGAAGGAGGGAGGAGGGAGGGAGGGAGGGAGGGAGGGAAGGAGGGAGGGGGAAGGAGGGAGGGAGAATTAGAGGGCGAGGGAAGGAGGGAGGAGGGAGGAGGGAAAGGGGAGGACACGAGGGAGGGAAGGAGGGAGGGAGGGGGAGGATGGAGGACTCCTTCTCCGTCCTCCTTCCCCTCCCTCTAAGGAAAGGGGAGGGAAGGAGGGAGGAATGGAAGGGGGAATTAGAGGGAGAGGAGGAAGGACGGAGGATGGAGTGAGGATAGGAAAAAGAGGGACTGAGAGAGAGAAGGGAGGAGAGGGAGAGAAGGGGAGAGAGGGAAAGGGGAAGGTACGAAGAGGAGGAAAGGAGGAGGAAGGATGGAGACAAGAGAGGAAGGGGAAGGAAAGGAGGAGGATGACAGGGATAAAAAAGGGAGGAAAGAAGGATAGAAGAGAAAGGAGGGAAAAAAGACAAAAAGAGGAAGGTGGAGGTGGGAGAAATGGTAGAAGGATGAAGAGAAAAGGAAAGGAAATATTAGGCAAGAAAAAGAAAGTTAGAAAAAAAAAAAATAGAAAATAGGAAATAAGGAGAAGTAGAGAGTTAGAATCGAACAGTTAGAATCGGGTAAGAAAGAGAGAAGTAAGAAGGAGAAAGACGGTGACAGAGAAAAGATGGAGAAGAAGGAGGAGGCGCGGCCGCAAGAAGACCAAGAACTTGTCAAATGACGGTAATGCGTAACACTTTCTGTAAGGAGAAGCGACGGCGATAGGATTGCAGGATTCGAGGGTGTGAGACCGCGGTTGGGTGAAGGGGGCGAAGGAGAGAGGAAGGGGAAAGAAAGGGGGAAAGTGGGGGAATGGGAGGGAGAGAGAGAAAGAGAGAGAGAGAGAGAGAGAGAGAGAGAGAGAGAGAGAGAGAGAGAGAGAGAGAGAGAGAGAGAGAGAGAGAGAGAGACGGCAAGAGAGAGAGAGAGAGAGACACAGACACAGGGAGAAATATATAGAAACAGACAGACAGACGGCAAGAGAGAGAGAGAAAGAGAGAGAGCGAGAGAGAGAGAGAGAGAGAGAGAGAGAGAGAGAGAGAGAGAGAGAAGAGAGAGAGAGAGAGAGAGAGAGAGAGAGAGAGAGAGAGAGAGAGAGAGAGAGAGAGAGAGAGAGAGAGAGAGAGAGAGAGACGGCAAGAGAGAGAGAGAGAGAGAAACACAGACACAGGGAAAAATATATAGAAACAGACAGACAGACGGCAAGAGAGAGAGAGAGAGAGAGAGAGAGAGAGAGAGAGAGAGAGAGAGAGAGAGAGACAGACAGACAGACAGACAGAGAGACAGACAGACAGACAGACAGACAGACAGAAATATATAGAAACAGACAAACAGACAGCAAAGGAGAACCAGAGCCCCAGAGACAGAGACAGAGAGACCAAGAGAAAGAAAGAAAGGAGCGAAAAAAAGAGTTCACACGAGACAGCCAAGAAGTGCCAAGCATCACAAATGAGAGGAAACGCGAGGCCGTTAGGTGGTGTAATTAGCCTCAGAAGAATGAGGGAAGGAAAGCGGAAGAGATAAAAGGCGAAGAAGAATGATAACCGATGATTATGGTCGGA